CCATGCCTTGCAAGACGCTGAGATTCGGTACCCCGAGCTAGAAAAACTCGCCTACGCTCTCGTCCTTTCAGCACGCAAGCTTCAGCCATACTTTCAGGCTCACAGCGTTACCGTCCTCACCAATCAGCCTCTGCGCCAGATACTCCAGAGACCGGAGACATCCGGTCGGCTAGTCAAATGGGCCATCGAGCTCGGCGAATTCGACATCCACTACCACCCTCGTCCTGCTGAGAAAGGACAGGCTGTAGCCGACTTCATCTCCGAGTTGACCACATCCGAAGGGCCAGATTCGGAGGACGCCGCCTCCGATTCATCTTCTCCAGTACCAGTCGCCCACCCGACCGAAGGAATCTTTAATCCCTCGATTCCCCTTTGGACTCTCTACGTGGACGGTTCGTCCAACCGACAGGGCAGCGGAGCCGGCTTGGTACTCAAGGCCCCTGACCAGACAACCATCGAATATGCCATCCGATTCCAATTCCGGACTTCCAACAACGAAGCCGAATATGAGGCTCTGTTGGCAGGCCTTCGGCTCGCTAAAGAAATGGGCGCTCAGCAACTCAGGATCTGTAGCGACTCACAACTTGTCGTCAACCAGATACTGACTGAATTTGAAGCCAAGGACACTTCGATGGTTGCCTACTTGACGCACGCTCGCCGATTGCTCCACCACTTCACCGCGTACCAAGTTCAACGGATCCCCAGATTCGAGAACAGCCACGCCGATGCTCTATCACGCCTTGCATCGGCGATCGACGACAACGTAGGGCGCCATGTGCCGATCGAGATCCTCACTCGGCACAGTACCACTGACATCGAGATACATGCCGTTCGGCAGGATCCAAGTTGAATGGATCCTATCCACGCCTACCTCGCCAACGGCACGTTGCCTAACAACAACTCCGAAGCTAAGACTATCCGCCGCCGATCGGCACGATACCTCCTTTTGAATCAGGTTCTCTATCGGCGTGGTCATTCCTTACCATTGCTTCGGTGCATGACCCCGCAACAAGGAAACTATGTCCTACAAGAGATTCACGAGGGAGCCTGTGGGGATCATTCAGGCGCCCGATCGTTGGCCTTCAAAACCATTCGGCAAGGATACTACTGGCCGACTCTTCATGCCGACGCCACTCAACTCGTCCAGAAGTGCGATCATTGCCAGCGCTTTGGTTCCATCCCAAAATTGCCTGCCGAGCCACTGACTCCGATTGTCAGCCCATGGCCCTTTGCCCAATGAGGTTTAGATCTCATCGGCCCTATGCCCCAGGGAAAGGGACAGGTCAAATTCGCCATCGTCGCCGTCGACTACATTACGAAGTGGACCGAAGCCGAAGCATTGGCAACCATAACCGCAGCCAGGGTCGAGCATTTTGTATGGAAGAACATAATTTGTCGGTTCGGCCTTCCGAACGCAATCATCACCGACAACGGCAAACAATTCGACTCCACTCAGTTTTGGCACTTGTACCACCGATTCAACATCAACTTGTTCTTCTCATCCCCAGCGCATCCACAATCAAACGGCCAGGTAGAAGCCATCAACAAGATCATCAAGCGGACACTGAAGAAGAAGCTTGGGGCAGCTAAAGGAGCCTGGCCCGATCTCCTTCCGGAGGCACTCTGGGCGATCAACACCTCCTACCGTCGATCGACTGGAGAAACACCGTTTTCCCTTGCTTTCGGTACCGAAGCTGTTGTCCCCGTCGAGATCAACGCACCCTCGTGCCGAACGGCTTCTTACAAATC